ATTCCATCCACATCACAAGACATTTATGAATCTAAACCTGCGATAAAATTAAATAATAATAATCAATTAAAACCGCAACCATTAATGACTTCATCTTATCTTCATTACCAAGATATTTCATTTAATGAAAAAAATAGTATTTATTGTAGTTTTTCAAATAAAAACGATAAAAAACCTTTGGAATCAACATCCAATAATAAAAGAAAATCTTCAGAATCAAATCCTATTGAACAAATTCTTGATAAAGCTTCAACTGCAAAAGTTGATTTCGATTATAATGAAGAAGATGAAGAAAAAAAGAAAATAGCTTATGCTAAAAAATTACTTTTTCCCGGTGCACTTGCAACATCATTTTCTGAAGTTGCTGATACATTACGAGATGAACGACGACAAGAATTTTGTCCAATTTATAAAGACGAAACACCAGAACAAATAGCTTTACGTCAATCGAAACGAAAACCTATTGGTAGTCTTCTTGCAAAACGTATACGTTGGGATGATATAAAACGTAAACGAGAAGAAGAAGAAAAAAAACAAGCACAAATGCAATATCATTATGGACCCTATGGACCTGCATATAATAATAATCAACAATCATTTACTAATCCATATGAACGATATTATACAGAAATGCAAAATCAATATGATTTAGTATGTCATTTATAACATTTCATTTTCATTTATGCCTTGTTTGTTTCTATAGATGGTAAAAATGACTCATGCTCAACAAGAGCACAGTGGTTTTTGGCCAGAATATCAACAATCATCATTTCAAAATAATGATCAAACAGTACAAAATTCAATGCAACATCAAGCACAACCTTATACATATCCATTTCCATCAATGAACGCTAATCAAAAACCAGCATATACACCTGCTGATTATTATAATCTTCATTTAATTAGTAATATGCAACCACCACCACCACCGCCATCTGATGAACTTTAGTTGTACTAAATCTTGTTATTTGTTTGATGTTTTCTATTTGAATATTAAAAAAAGACCAGAGAAAATAATTTTTGTTAGAATGAAAAAAAAATGAAGAAATCATTTTTTTGTTTTTTATAGATTCTTAAATCCAGAAAATTTGACAATAAAAATATTTATTGATTTCACACTCAAATAATTGATATAAAAATGAGTCTTAGCTTTAATGTTATTTGAGTTCAACAGTAAATGATGATAACTCTTTGATTAGTTTCATGGTTAAAAAACAAGCACAATATTTGTTAATTAAGAACGAAGTGATTAATATCGTGAGTCAATGATATCAGTTCTAGTTTTGTTGGTATACTTTTGTATAGTAATAGCTTATAATCATTTTATGAATTTATCTATGGAAGATGTAAAGACTTGAAATTTATTATTAGCCCATTTTAAATATTGAATTAACATCATACCTTCTAATTCTGTCAAAAGTTATTAACAAAGATAAGTTCTTCACATTTATTTAATATATTTGCAGTCTTAATCACTTTAGGTAAACAGAAAATTTCTTATAGTAATCTAGTATATTCATAAATTTGACCTATTCTAATATGTCGAAACATAACCAATAATGAAAAATTAGTTATATTACCCCATTTTACCTTTTTTTTATCGTGGGTGTGTTTTTTTCTCAGTGCATATTCTTCCTATGATAGATTGTTTTTGTTATTTTCAAAATGCACTTATTTATTTCGTATTATATGATTAATAAATAAAATCCAATCATTCTTTTCTTTTTAGTATGGATTTATCGTCTCCATTAGCTCGTATTGATATACACACCCATATTTTACCACGTGAATTAAGTAAAAATGCTCAGAAATATCTCGAATTACGATCACGTGCTGATGGTGACCCACGTTTAGATATGTATAAGGATGGGAAATTTTTTCGAACTATTGAACCGAATTGTTTTGATATTGATGTACGTCTTCGTGAAATGAACGAGAAGAAAATTTCTATGCAAGTACTTTCAACAATTCCAGTTCTATTTAATTATTCATGTGAAAATTTTGAAAATGTACTTCAACTTTCTCGCGAATTAAATGATCATATATCATCAGTTTGCAAACAGCATGCAACACGTTTTATTGGTCTTGGTACAGTTCCATTACAAGCACCTAGTTTAGCTATTGATGAACTTCGACGATGTGTTAACGAATTAGGATTGAAAGGTGTACAAATTGGTACACATGTTAATGATTGGAATTTAGATAATGAAAATCTTGATCAATTTTGGCGTGAAGCTGAAAAACTTGATGCTTGCATATTTGTTCATCCATGGGATATGCCAGTCGGAAAACGTTATGAAGCTTATTGGATGCCATGGTTATGTGGGTAAATAATCATATTTTCTTTTTGATGATAAAATAATCATTTTATTGATATGTATAGAATGCCTTTTGAAACAACATCTGCAATATGTACCATTCTTATGGGTGGTGTTTTAGAAAAATATCCAAAACTTCGTTTAGCATTTGCTCATGGTAAATAAATTCATAAGATAAAGATTTGATATTATTTCTTGTTTTTGTTTTTAGGCGGTGGTTCTTTTCCATTTACAATTGGTCGTATTGATCATGGACATGAATGTCGACCAGATTTATGTGCTCATAATAATTCGAATAAACCATCATCATATATTGGTCGATTTTCTGTTGATTCTCTTGTTCATGATTCTCATGCACTGAAATATCTAGTTGAAACAATGAATGAAAATTGTGTTATGCTTGGATCGGATTGTCCATTTCCTCTTGGTGAAGATAAACCTGGTGAATTAATACTAAAAACTTTTGAACATGATTTAGATAAATGTGAAAAACTGTTAAACAGTAACGCAAAACGTTTTTTTAAAATTTAGTATGAGGATTTTAAATAGAAATCAAACAACAGTTAGTACAGTGTGTTATCTTTTTTACCGAAGAAAAAAACAAATAAATCAACTCAATGAAACAGAAAATTAAGTACAAGAATCAATTCTTGCATGTTCTAATCGATTTTAAATATCTTTGTTTATTATTAAAATTGAATACTGAATTTGAAGCAACTGTATGCTATAATCAGATTTTAGCCATTCATTATATTATCTGTCTATAACTTTCTTCTTTCGTCGCCTGAATGTTGCTATTTACTTGTTGACATCGAATAAAAATTTCTTTTTTCTTGCAATAGCAGCTCTCAATCTAATGAATGCTGTCATCATTCATCGATCTCTCCTACATGTAACACTAGAAAAGAAAAAGAAGTCTATATATTGTATCTCTGCATATACAATAGAAGATAAAATACTAAACCATCGTATAACTGGTAGGTATCAGTAATACTTAATAATACAGAAGAGAGTCATAGTCTGTTTTAGAAATTGAAATTATAAACAATGAAACAATCATTGTTTTTATGTTTTGCTTTAATAATTGTTTGTATAATGACAATGACAAAAGCAGATCGTGACATGAATGATTATGATGTTGGTAATTATTTTATTTGAAAAATTAAACAAAAGAAGAATTTATAACATAATAATATTTTATTAAGATCGTAAGGCAGCTGTCGAATTCTTAAAAAGAACATTATTTCATCCAGGAAAAACTAAATGTGAGGAACAAAAACGAGAAGCATCTGAAAAATATGAAGAACGTTGCGAACCAAGTGTTAATAAAATAACTGGAAGTCGTTATTGTAAGTTTAATTTAATCTCTTTTCTTTATTTTTTTTTTATTTTTTATGCTGATTAGGTCCTGATATTAAAACATGGACTGCTTTTCAAAATTATGAGATTGGTAGCGGTATGGGCCGTTAAAAAACCAACTGCTTCATATATCAACAATTCAGCTTAATTTTCAAATGTAAAGATTATATAACAATGTCTTTCTTTACTTCTAATGAATAAATCCCTTTTTACCTTTCTATACTAAAATTTGATCGATTGTTAATCGATCGAGAAGTAAAGAAAAATAATATATCAGAATTTTTTACTCACGATTAGATTTTAAAATTGAATGCATCGCAATTGATCATCTGTTATCAGAGAGATAACTATAACAATTATGATAAATGCAATGTTGATAGATATATAAGATAATTTCTAAATATAAGAGTTAAATTAGCAAAAATGTTCTTCTAATATTTGTATATATAAACCATTTTGCTTTTGGGCTAATTTATCACATAAATATATATGTACATCATTAGAATATCGCTTTAATAAATATTTACGTCGCATTAAAAAATCGCAGAAGACGACATACATATTGTGTTTCGCACTGTATTAAAATGAACGTGAATAATTTTTCACAGAAACAAAATAGAGAACTGCAGTTTTTGTCATCAGAAAGAAGAGATAAAGACACAGTGACTTGTATGTTACAGTTTTTTAAAAAATTTATTGCAAAAAGGCATGAACTAGTTATTTTTCTTGAAAAACTATAATTCCCAAACGATACAAATTATTCTTGCTCTATAAAAATCCTCTGTTTCTCATAGAATGCCACTCTATCAATATCGAAACAGATTATTTTTGTCCTCAAAGAATATCGAAGAAATAGCACAAAACTTTTAATGGAAATGAAACATTCAAAAATAAATTTTCGTTCTTCCAAACATTTAATTTGAGTTCTCTCTAATACAAATTCATGAATAAAATAATCAAGTGTAATACCATCATCGTCTATAGCTGATAATAATTATGAATACTGAGATCGACAGTGTAGAAATGTATGTATTCTGTAGAGTATATCTATATTGCTTTTCATATAGATAGCAGCACACTACTAAAAGTCGTTTAAAAAGGTATTTGATTGGTCGCATCTGACTGTTCCATATTTTATCATTGATTTTAACAACAAGTTAAACTGGAACTGGGTGACTGGTTTTTTACATCTTTTAGTACTTTAATCATCTTAAGAAATGGTAAAGAAAACTAGTAGTAAACCTAAAAAACGTCGTACATTCGCTGCTGATAAACATAATACAAAAACTCGTACTGATGTAGTTAACAAAAGCAATCCATTTGATTTACATGTTAATCGTTTAAAACATGATGTACTTGGTAAAAGACGTAATTATGAAAAAGGTGGGCAACCACTTAAATCACGATCACGAGGAATTGAAAAAGTAATTTTTGACTGATTAATTAATTATATTTGAATTATTGATTTTGTTTTTTTGTTCGTAGAGAAAACGTACATTATTAAAAGAATTAAATTCAGTATTTAAAAAAAATACTTTTATTGATTATCGTTTGGGTGAAAATGATCCAACATTAACAAATGATGAAAAATTAATGCAACGTTTAATTGCAGAACGTTCTGTACGTTAATTTCATAATAAATCTTAATCATTTTTCATATCGTTTTTTTTTGTATAGAAAACACGTCTTGGTAAAGAAAGTCGTTATAATTTAAATGATGAAGAAGATTTAACACATTATGGTCAATCACTATCAAAATCTGATGAACTTAATCAAAAGCCTGTTGTTGATGATTATGATGATGATGATTTAAATAAAGGTCGATTAAAATCTGATAGTTTTTTTGGTGGTTTTCAAAATCCAAATGATCAACGTAAACCACAATCGAAAAAAGAATGGATTGAAGATATGATTAAAAGTACAAAATTAGATAAATATGAACGTCAACGTGAAAATGAAAAAGTTTTTGATTTGACTTCAAATCTTGATGAACAATGGAAAGCATTAAGTAAATTAATAAATGTCAAAGAAAGACAATCGAAAGATATAAAAGAAACAGCGGATGATTTTGATAAACTTGTTAGTTCATTAAAATTTGAAGCGAAAACAACAGTATGTTATTGAATGATCTATATTTTGATTGAAATATATAATCTTTTATTTCTAGGGTGTACCAGTAAAGACTATTGCAGAAAGAGAAAAAGAAGCAGCAGAACGATTAAAAACTTTACAGGTAAATTTTTTACTTCTGTTTATCTAAAATGTTACGTCTCGGACTAGGCAAACTTTAATAATTGAATTTTGTTATATAAAAATAGATTGCAGAAAGTGAACGTATGGAACGTCCAACATTAAAATCGATATTAGCAAAGAATAGACCACAAACACATCTTTCTGTTGAAGAATTAGATGAAAGGTTTGTTGGATTTTGGTATTTATTGATAAGAAAATTATAAGGCGTTTGTTTTGTATAGTTATTATATTCTGGATGGAACGAAAAGACGTGTTACATTTGATGATGAAAATGAAGCTGACAAGAATGGAACATTACCAACAGAAGAAACAACAACAGATAATGGAGATGATTCAACTCCAGTTGATAATGAAGAACAAGGAGATAATGATGATGATGAAGAAGAAGAAGAAGAAGAAGCGGAAGAAAAAGTAAGTCTTATTCATTGAATTATTACATGGATGATAAATTTTTATCATATATTTAGACAAATGGTGATTTAGTAGCAGAATTTGAAGAAAGTATGTTATTCTTTTATTATATTCTATCATAAGTGACATATTTTAAAAAACTAAGGATAATATTTCTGTGGGTAACAAAATATGATAAACAAAATTTTTTGAAATTTTGCCAATTACAAATATCATATTTCATATCGTTGGTCAAAACACTTTCTACATACAGTTCTTTTGTTATAGTACCATCCAGTCTTGATATACTTCAAAATCGTATACGTGAAGATAAAAATACAATAAATATAATCTGGAAACGAATTAGAGATAAACGATTACCACCTATACCAAAAGTAGTACTAAGTGTAAGTCAAAAGTTTTTTATTTTTACTTGTATAAATAAAACTTTTGTAATTTAAGAATTATTTTGATGTATTACTTGATTATTATGTTTCAATAAAACCAAACCAAGTAATATACAATAAAGTTAGTAAAATTCTTCTTGATCTTTTACAATCAATTAATAATGATCAAACAAAAGCGAATATACTTAATCGATTAAAACAATATCATGTAACTTTAAGTGAACAAATTGAAGAAGAAAAATTTTGTCAAGTTGATTTATCATTCGTATGTTATATCTATTCTTAAGATTTTCTTTCAATGAAATTTAATTTTTAATTAGGTTGTATTTCTAAAATTAATTACTTATCTTTATCCAACATCAGATTTTCGTCATCCAATAACAACTCCAGCATTAACATTACTTATTCAAGCTGTTCATCATGTAATTATCTTTGTAAAGAAACAAAATATTTCATTAAGTTTTTTTTTCTAAGGCTTCATTAAATTCTTTGTCTTCTTGTCGACAAGCATTACTATTAATTGAACTTACTAAACAAGTAAAATAATATATTGAATTTATAATAAAAAGAAACGATTTATTTTATAGTGGATATCAAAAACCACTCGTTATGTACCAGAAGTAATTGTTTTATTGATGAAATTACTTCAACTTGCATGTCCAACTGGAAAATCGAAACATGTTCTATCATGTTCATCGAAACAGAGTGGAAATAATCAATTAATTGTGATAAATAAGAATATTGATTTGTAAGTAATAAAAATAAGATTAAATATATATATGAATTGAAAAATATGTTTTTAGATCAAAATCAACTAAATTAACTGTTTTTTCTGATAATGATCTGGATGATGATGATAATGATGAACATCTGTAAGTTATGAGATATGACTTATATTTATGTAGTTATTTTTTTTCTGAAGGGCAATGATTCTTCAAACATGTCTTAATTCTTTAATCGATTTTTTGAATATCTATCAATCACTTTCAGCTATAGTGGAAATAGCTCAACCATTTAAATCTCTTGTTCAAACTATTGCTGAAACATCGAAATGTAATCAGATATCATTAAAAAGTCGAGAAGTTTTAACTTTAATTGATACAATTCAAACAACATGTCTTACTAATCGTAAACATCTTGAACAAGGCAAAGAACAAACGAAAATATTACGATTATATGAACCTCGTTTTGGTCCTGTGTATGTTAAAAACTTGTTTTATTTATTTTATAGACATTTGTTTTTTTCTTGATTAAAGATACGAAGGTAAAAAGAATACTCGTCTACCAAAAGAACATGCTGAACGTATGGGTCTTCGACGAAAATATAAACGAGAACTTAAATCCACTACTCGTGCACTTATACTTGATAATCAATTTATTGCACGAGAAGAACTTCGACAACAAATGGAAAAGTATATTTTTTTAAATAATTTTCTCAGTTTATTATTTTAATTTTTTTCTAGGGATACTCAACGAAAACGCAAAGTCAAAGATATTCTATCAGAATTATCTATGCAAGAAGGAGAATATAGAAAATTACAAAAAACTAAATAATTGTTATTGTTTTGTTTTGTTTTGTTTTGCAAAATAACAGAATTAACATCTGTGTTTTTTTGTTTTTGTTAAGTTTTTTTTCTTGATTTTCTAGATGACAGATACAGATCGTTCTCAACCATTGAATGTACCACGTGGTGCACGATCCTCACGCTATCGTACACATAGTTCAGGTAGTTTATCATCCTCATTTGGTTCACCGTCGGGTTTAACGAATATAAATAATAATAATGGTGGCATACAATCAGTACATAATAAAAAAACAGCAACTGGTTCAAGTGGAAATAATAATATTGGATCAATATCATCATCAATGGGTACTGGTAATAGCGGTGGTACATTACCACAATTTGATGAAAAACATGCAGCAGCTGGAAATATCTTTGAACATCGTCAAGATTGGTCGATACTTAATCGTCTTCCATTACATAAACGGAATGCCATACATATTCGTCTTGAAGATGAAGGTCCTTATGGAAATGATGAAACACGTTGTTTTGTTTTATCTCAATTATCTATGGTTGGTTGTACAGATGTAGCATGTACTGTTTGTGGTCAATCAATGGTTGTTTATGATCGATATCCTCTTGTCGATGGTACACTTTTCTTAAGGTAAACTTTTTTTTTGATAAATAGATATATTGTCAGAATAACCTTACCGGTATTTCATATTTAAGAAATAGTCTATAAATTGAAACCATAGAAAAGAATATCGTGTTTATTTTTTTAAGCAAAAAATAATTCTTTATTAATTTATTTGAATCTTTCATCTTTTAGTCCTATTAAACATAGTGATAATGGAAAAGTCTCTGTTGCTGTTTATCATAGCGATCGACAGCTGTATCTACATGGCATATGTCTTGAATGTCTATCTATGCGTTCATTACATGTTCTTTGTCGTCTATGTAAGACTAAATTCAACTTTGATCCAATTATATTCGGTACACTATATTATTATGGTATGTGTTAATAAATCATGTGTTTTTTTT